AAGGCCATCATAAGAGCTGTTGCAAGGTCACACATGCAATCTGTGAATTTTGCCAGTATAGACAAAAATCATACGTATGCAAATATCCATTTCTCGGAATTGGACTGAAAGAAACACAACTGGTTTTTAATGAGAAACATAATGGGTACCTTTTCTCATTTGAAACGTTAGACAGGTACTAGTACATTATCAGTAAGGGTGTGGCGTTGTTAAACCATGCCACACTGCATTGATACTTAGTTTGTCTTAAATCACATAGTCATTTGAGGGGAAAATCTTGCACCCTCAGGGCCAGCTGCCATGCAGGCCAGGAGAGAGGTTCTCTGTCTAGATAAAAAAAAAATCAATATCCTTCAAATTACTTCAGCATTTCCATGGAAACAGGTGTCCAAAGCCAATAGAACATGAATAAATGATGTGACCGAGTTCCTCTTCCTTGATACTGACGCAGCTACTGTATGTGTGCATGTACATCTGGAATTTTACTGAAGCACTCTCTGCTTATGTTGCATAGTTGCAGCCCAACCCTCCCGCCACAAATAACCAAATTAGCAGAATGCTGTGAGATATATTCTGATGTCACGTTTGCTTTCACAGAAAACTCAAGCAGAGTGTCAAGTGCCAATGCCACACTACAGAGCAATGTGTTTTACCGCTCCATTCGTATCAAACCAACAACAAAGCCATCCCATCTGGCAATGTGCAGTGCAACTAGCCCACAGCTGACATTCAACAATCAACATTCACAGGCAGAAAGAAAACTGAAGGAAAACTACATTTAAAAAAAAGGTAAACTAAAAGAGACGTGAAATCATAAAAGCAAAAGTGCAAAGTGCAGTAAACAAGAGCCAACATGCAAAAACAAAACCCAACCTTAAAAAAAAAGAAAGCAAACAAAAAATCCAACATTTTAGAACCAAAAATATGAAAAGAAAGGCATCTTTTGACCCATACCTGCCAGCTCGGCGGGAGCGGACCTAGGCGATGTGGGCTGGGAGGAGGGGCGTGGTGAGGAGGAGGCACAGGCGTCCAAGGAACCCAATTTGGGATATTCCGAGATGGAGGCCTGACTCATGTCAACATTTGTCGGCAACAACAAAAACAAACAAACAAACAAGCAAAACACGGACAAACAGTCCACGGAGGGATCCAGCAACACAGAACAAAAACATTCAAAATAACGGAAGGACAGGGTTTGCAGCAGACGGCCGGTTAACAGATGAACAATATACAAGTATTGTGGTAGCCAGTCGGACGCACACACACACGCACACCGGTAGGGAAGAGATGATGAACAGGGAGGGGAAAGGAAACAAAAAGCAAAAAAAAAACAACCTTTGAGAATTCTATGTCAAGTTAGTCATTACTTATGATTATTTTTTTCCCTGGCTGCAGATGTATCTAGTAACAGCCTTGCCAGTGTTACAATTCCAACAAGAACTCAAGAATGCTCGTCAGGTGAGGTTGTTTTTCATCAACAGCCCAGCTGCAGTTGGATGTCAAGTGCTGTACACTGTTATATATAATGTACACTGTTACCTGGCCAGTCAAGCATTTCCTTGTGGGTTGGTGGAATTGTCACACTGGCAAACACTGGCACACTACAGGGCAGAACAGCAAGTGAGGGTTCTCCTCCCCTGCACTCAACCTCAGACCCACTTTCTTTCGGTGCCCTGGATTTGAGGTCAGGTTTTCTCCTAGAGAGGGTTTTCTGATCCTGTGTAACAGTACTTGCATGTGCCATTCTGAAAAGCATACACGTAGAACCAAGGGGTTTTAGAAAACACACAATAACCTTGGATCTGAAGAATTTTCATGAAGTGACAAAACCTTAAACTGATATGACCTGAAATTCCAAAATGAATAATACACCAGCACGCAATTTTTTAACTGTGTAATTTCAAGACAACGGGGATTACATGTATTTGGAGTGAGATCTCAAAAGGGGCCTACTTTTCTGACCTGGATTGTTAAAGGGCTGGATGGGATAGGAATGGGGGAGGGGAGAAATGTCTGAGGTTGAGTGCCATGAGGGATAAGCCCCCTGCTTGGACCTCTCTGCCCTTGCCGTCCGGCTCGGCCCAGACTCGTTTACCTGACTCCTTGGCTGTGGGTTCCGTATCTTCGCTAGTCGAGGCTGAAGGTGACTCACTGACAAAGGCCTAGATATATATATATACATGGCACGTGGGTGGAAATGTTAGATAGCAATGGTACATGTACATGTATGTGACTTGGTGGAACAGGTCATCTACAGTGTGGAGTGATACTGCTCCTCTAGGGAGAAGGGGCAAACATATGGTCACAGCGGTGTTTTGAGTTTGTTTTGTCTTGTTTTAAGTATGTACTGTGAATAACATGGGAAACTACATGTATCGTGTATATGTACCTTCCATTCAATGTGCCCAGTTCAAAGCAAAAGCAAAATAATGATATTATATTGGTTATTGAAATTAAGGCATTTGTTTTCAATATCAAAACTTCCACTCTGATTGACGGAACAGGAAGCCACAGTTAATGCGTGTGTTCAATGATGTGCCTGTCAAATGTACAGGCACAGTGTGCTGTCATTGGCCCCAATATACAGTGTGAAGTGAATGGCTGTGAAAGATGGACTCCATAAAGAAATGTTACATGTAGTGAATATGCAAAAGAAGGTAACTACACCAGGGAAAATGGCTGTGATTAAAATGACACCAAATTAATCGAGACCAAAACCAAGTGTAATGCTTGAGCAAAATGTTCCACTGAATCAAAAGGATCAACTAAACTGGATGTGTAGAAACACAGATTCAGATCTCCTGATGACGATTTTCGTGGACAGTACTCCAACAAATAGGATTTCTGATGACTGGGCTCATTTTTTCACAGGCAACGGGAGCCTGTGCTGTCTGTCAAACATCCACACAAATGTGTCCGTGCTTTCACGACTTCAGGGTCCAAAGGTACTGAGGGAAACGCAACATCTCTGGGGTTACAAATGTTGGTGAAGATGATACATGTGTGTGTCAGTGAGGAGCGAGGTTGTTGCATTATTAATTTAAAACTCATTCATTCATATGGCACCAACAGCCACACTGGCATTTGGCCCCGCACAAAATTTCAACCATGGAGCCCTGGTGCAGGTGCATGTGTGCAGGTTAGATGCTATTCAGAAGACGGCCATGTATATGTACATAAAAAAAATAAATAAAACTTGACTTTAAAAAGTGCACACTCTACAGTGGTTGGGAAAAACAACAAAGAAGTTGAAACTTATTCCCTTCCCCTCAACTCAAAGAAAACTTTCCAAAGAAAGCAAAACTGACAGAGTATTCACCCTGTGAAATCTTAAAACCTTGGCACAGGTAAGCCTCAAACCTTGGGTGAATTTTCTTATTCCACTCTACTGTTGACTGGGACTGCTTAAAGTTCAAAGGGTTTCAGGTTGACTCTCGGATTGCAATCACTGCGAATAGCGCAAAGATCACTGGGTTTTACTTTTATAAGATCTGCCCCCAGCTGAAAAGACCACTTCCTTCAAACCTACATGTATTTGTGGAGGACCTGTGATTGATTCTTGGGTATAAAAAATTGAGGCGGTGAAAATCAAACTTCAATCACATCAAAAGTGACTAATGCACAAGGTAACTTCCTTGTTATTGACCGCATCTCTTTCTTTTCCTTTCTGTATACATGCAGAGTAACAAAACTGAGGTGTAGGAACATGTGTTATTTATAGCACGTATGTGGGTAAATGGGTAATTCCAGAAATTAGGGGTCCAACAGAGTGATGTTTTCGTGTCCCTGTTACATCTGACCTTTGTTGTTTGACATGGAAATATCACCGGAATTGATTTCAAACTACCGGCATTACTATTTGTTTGGCAGGTAATTTACATTAATTCATCATTCTTGGAAATTAGAAAATGTGTTGTGAACTTAAAAAATCATACATCCAATGTGACAGAGACATAGAAAAAACATGGACCCCTGATTTCTGGAATTACCCAAATACGTACTGTAGATTTAATCATGTTTAAACTTAAATACATTAGACAATTCTGATGTGTCTGTGATACAACCAAGCTAACTGAGTCTTTTGTTGATCCTGGTCAGTTTATGGATTTTTAATGTTAATTTTAAAAGAGCACAATGACGCCTTCATTACTGAGAAAACCCAATGTTGATATCCATTACTGAGAAAACCCAATGTTCATACCAGATGAGCTAAAAAAAATGGAAACTATGGTACGTGAGATTGTGGAATATAGCAATCTTGAAATAAAACTCCTGCAAAATCACTCCTGTTCTGGAGTCCAAAGGTGGTTTCAATTGATAAGAATATTTACACCACTTGCTGAAACAAAGAAATCTTTGAAAAACTTGCAGGGTCGATTGGAAATAATATGACAAATCACTGGAACCTTCGGAATTACCTTTTTCCTGCGTATTGACAATTTATCGCCCGTCACACCCATCTCTGACAGGATTTCGGCCATTCTCTTGGGGTTGATACCACAGTTGGGTGCAACGTTCTTGTCGCATCTCTTGTGGACGTTCATTTTGCATGCTGATTATACACAGGAGAAGAAACGTAAACATGTGGTCAAATAAAATAAGAACAATGGTTCGTGGTATTGCAGTAAACATGCACCTAAAATGGAGGCAAACTCATGTTGCATCCTTACAGTTAAGTGCTTACTGCATTCACATAGAAAAAAATCTTCCATAAACATGAAGGCAGCATTGGGTAATGTAGCGCATATACTGGTACATGTACAATGTACCGTAGCTTAATGTATGCACAGCCTGACTGCCAGTCTAATACACTATAGATCATAATTGATTGCACCTGAATGTCAAATGTGGAGCTGGCAGACCTGAGCAGATATCTTGAGGTATTACATGTAGGTATCAGGATGCATTAAACGACAATGTGTACAGCTGTTTACACTGCCAATATGCAACCCACCATGTTCACAAATTGCAACAGATACATGTAGAGGGCTGATTTCACACCAGGGGGGAACTGGATTCAAATTTTCCAATTTAAAATCAAACTGGAAATCCCTAGTCAAACAGAGCTGGGGATTACTAACACATGCAGGTACATGTACATGTAAATACCAGTCGGTGACAAACCGAGACCAGTGATCAAGTTGAGGGTGCTTGTACATTACATGTACATGCACTGATGTACACAGTATGGTGTCCAGAGCCCAACAAGGACCCCCTGAGGGTCATCATGGGACCAAATCTTAAGACCATCAACACTACAGTACATGTACATGATGTCACAGCTTTGTATACAGTCAAGCCACTTGCACAGACAGCTTTACTTTAATGTGCATATAATACCACAGTTAGCACCACGTTATTGCCAATTACAGTAACTCTGTTATTAAAGTTGGACACGCAGCACCTATTACTTTCTTCCCGGAGGATCCCTGGCTGGGGGGGGAGTTCTTTCTGGCAGACACATTTGTCTCCCTGGCTCAAGCCATCATCGACAAGTAATTTCACTCCAAAGTAGAAATTTGGTCACGCTCTTACCGGTACCAACCTCATTATCATAAGTAATTCTCAAACAAAAAGGGACTTGGGGGGAAAAAAAGACGGGGAAATAATACATAGTATAATAAAGTTATTTTTGGAACTGGGCACCCATTTTGTCAATGCCAAGGTACCTGGGTACCCTTAAAATATAATGAACACTTTACAAATGGCATTGCATGCAATCCTGGCTGACCATGTACCTGAAACAGGGCTCTTTTTTGTACATAGGAAGCAGCACATTGTTCTTAACGTTAGAGGGAAATCTCCCCCACCGTTTTATCAAACCCCGTCGATCTCTGAACTGAAGTTATAACTGCAGGACTGCGTTTCTCAGTGGCATGATGATTTTTCAGCAGTTCTAACATTCACTGTTAAAGTTCACATACATTGTTTATATGGGAAAATTTTTTTACTGGTACCCTAGTTTTGATATTGATGGGTGGGTACCCGGCACAGGCCTACAATGCAATCACTTTAACTGAAATCCACTTCCCTGTTGTTTTTTTTAAACTTCTTTTTATTTGTAAATTGTGACTGAGGTCAGTAACAGCATGACCAAATTTCCACTTTCATGTGGAATTGCTCTTGAGTTATCACCAACTCAATATTTCGGTCCGTTCTCTTTCCCACAATTTGAACATGGCCCAATAATCAGGTCTCCTCATCCACCCATGCTTTTTTGCCCCTTTCTGCGTCTGGCTTACCTTCGCATTGAAGCCCTTGTCGTAGCAAACCGTAGAGCAGTGAACCGCAGTGATCGCAAAAGGTCGGCTTCTTGAAACTGTGAACGCTAAATCGATGTGGCAAGTTGATGTTGAACCGCTGTGACTGGGATTGAGACTAGTTGTAGAAATGAACAAAGAAAAACAACGATAATAAACACATGTGACAAAACTACGAAATCAAAACAAAACCCCAAATCCAGGCGAACAGGCAAATCTAAAACTGACTAAATCACTCAAGTCCCTTTGATAACATACTGGCAATTTTGTCCTGACTTGCTCATGTGTGGGTGAACTGTCCTTCTTTTTTTATTAAATTCAGCAACCGACATTTGATTTGCTCTATGGAGTAGAAAGGAAAAACCCTTTAATCTCAAGGGACAGGTTATGGCACATGCTCTCAACTTCCCTGGATGAAGGAGCATAGTTTACAGTGTACCGTATTTAAGTACGCTCATTACATTGTATGTTCCTGATTACAATATGCAACTGCAGGTGCACATGTACATAATTGGTCAATGTCTACAGGTTTTGCACATGCAAGGTGAGCATACCACAGTGAATCTCTCCTATTCCTTAATGTACACACAGGAGCACATAAGGCCCATGTGCATTTGAAGCTACAGTCCACATGCATAATTAATGTTGAACATGCTTCTTGCCCATGTACAATATGTATTGTACATTCCCTGCAAGAACTAAAGTGAGAATAATACATGATGAGTCCACTGTGCTTAGAATGTGACAATTTTTACTGATTTAAACACAGTATCCAGACTTGTCTAATTACAGTATATAGTCAAATTAAACAGGCAATAAATTCGCCAAGGAAAACGTTGGTCAACAAAATATGCTTTGGCCGGTTTACACAATGACATATTGTGCATTGCATACCTATTCCCCTTGCCATTAAATACAGCACAGTAAAGTTCATGCAATGAAACACCAATGCCAAAACTATCTGCATAAATTTCCAGATGACCATGATGCTCAACTCTTGCCAGCATGCATGACTGATAACTTAATGTAATGAGTGACATTTGAGTGACAGGGTTTTCTATGTGTACCCCAGTAGTCCCTTTGCCCAAGCGATGCCAGCAAGTATCCTTCTTCTTACAGATACTCAACATCCAAATTGATGTGAATAATGTGCTCTGCTGCGACATGCACATGGTCAGTAGTGAAATTCAACGAATGGGACATTCTTGGTTACGTGTGTGACCAAAAAACGGGGAAATCATACGGTTTGATTGACATCCTTGGCCTCTGAAAATGGCCCATGTACTTGTAGATTTCCATTATGCCATTGATTTTAATCCACTTGTTGACAAATTTTTTTTTTAACTTTTCCATTTTGTGTCAGAGGTCAAATAAAGGTCGGTTACATGTGTGACAACAGTTATTTTTTAAACCATTTTTCTAAAATTTCTTTTAAACTGGTGTCAGTGTATTGATATTAACGGCATCATGGAACTATACATGGACTATTTTCAGAGGCCGAGAAAGGATGTCAATCAGAGGATTTTCCAAGTTTTTGTCACACCAGAAACAGGAATGGCCCCGGTGCTCTTGTTTTCCTTCGTATTTCTTGTTGAAATGTCATGGGTATATGACCCAAGTACAGGTGCAACACATGGCTGCAATTAACCTTTACAAGTGTGAAATACAATATACGGTGTTGCTATTAAGGGTAAGGCTTCCCGTGGAGGAATTTAAAAAAACAGAGTTTACAAGGAGAAAAATAGCTCTAGGAGCAAATTGAAAACTTTAATGGATGTCAAATCCATCTCCCTACGTTCAAACACGTTGCACTGATTGGCGCATTTTCACAGCACTGCAGCCAAAAAAGTAATAGAGGTTTGCGTTGCTGGCATCACCATGTTGTCTCAGAGGTCGTTTTCGTTATTTAGTTACAATGAAGGCACAAAAAGTTTACTGGAGCCTGTCCCAGTGATACAATGTTCTTGTCCTCAGAAGCTGCATAAACGCATCACCTCTATTACTGATAAATGACAATGCTTTCTGAGTTCAGTTAGCTCAAAATATGTCTTTTGTTTTGGGTCTTGCACACAAAGTAAATACCGTACAATACAGGGCATTGTTAGGATGGACCAAAAATCCATGCAGCACAGGTTGAATATTGGTTGAGGTGCATACGTCTAGAGGATGTAACGTATACATGTACATGTACATGCATGGGCATTCAATGTGTGTGCATTGTCTGTATTACAAAGCTCCGTATTACTGTTATTGATATTCGATAGAATTGAAGGTCGAATATTCGAATAGTGATTTATATGAATTGACGCAGCCCTAGGTAAGGCATCCAATAATGGCAAAACCACTTCAGTGTCAATCTCCAGAATGAACATGCAGTGGCACTGATTAATTCTAATGCTGAAGCTTTTGTGCACATTCAAATGAGGTCAGGGTAGTATGTATCCTCACTGGGGTACCCACAAGGCACCCCTTTCAGCTTCTTCCACTCAGCAAGAGACAAGCTTTAAGAACCCTCGACTGAAGCCAAGAGGTTTTCATACTAGCAGGCACTTCTGACACTATGCAGTATATTCTACTGACACAAGTGTGTTCCCACTTGTTAGTCCCTTCCTGAACCTTGAAAGCAGTCTTACCTCTTTGGCATCATCCTTGTGTCCTGGACACCTTGATACCACAACCTCATGACATCGCTTATGTACCACCACTGTACATACTGTAATGAACAGAACAGAGGGAAAAAAAAACACTCTGCATTGGAAGAACTTTGAAGATGTCGAAGGTCACAAAGTTAATTTAAACACGTACAGCAACTTGACTGTTTAACTTCAGCAAATCTAAAATAAATAAATAATATCTGAAGTCACAATTTTGTGTTCTTGTTTACTTTGATGCCAAATGCATGTACATACACAATTGACATTATTCACGGGGCCGGCCATATTTAACTCTTCATTTTTGAATGTTGAGAGTACAAATGAAAGCAATTAAATGAAATTTAATGACAAATTTAAATGACAAATTTAATGACAAATGACAAAAGAGTAAGATCAGAAATGCCCTCGGCATAAATAGGGTCTATTGTATATGTTTGAACCAGCCTTCATTTTTGAATGTTGAGAGTACCAATGAAAGCAATTAAATGAAATTTAATGACAAATTTGCACCTGTCTACTCTGATAAATAATTTTAAATTCATAATTGAACACACGGAACTGTGCCTTGCCAGATTTTGAAAATTACGGAAAGAAAGGCATGCAATGCATGGAAATTGAAAACTGCCTTGCGTCGTCCTAATCAACAGTTTGCAATATACATGTATAAAACAGATTTGGGGGAGTAAGATCAGAAATGCCCTCGGCATAAATAGGGTCTATTGTATATGTTTGAACCAGCCTTCAGCACCAAAGAAATCTTAGTTTTAAATCTACGGAAGACGCATGGTACTCATAGCTGCAGGAGAAAAATCTCTAAGAAGTTGTATTGTGAAAGTGTGAAAGTTAAAGGACGCGCAGGTGTACTGGTACATGTACATGTATCCTTACCTTGACATTGGTACCCTTGCATGTAAAAACCCCTGAAAGCAAAAGAAAAGAAGATCATCGGTAATTACATGTATGTAACAAAAAGACAGTATGGCACAGAGTCTTAAGTGCTAATAGCACATGGCTGCACATACACTATACATCGTAGTGCTGTCAACCATACATGTACGTGTGCTGAACATGAACATGTACCGATACATGTGTTTATGAGCAACAGTGTGTATGTACATGTATAGTACATGTACATGTACATGTACAGTACATTAATTATGTCTTGTGCATACCGGATAAAAGTCCAAACCACTTCATTTATCCTGGTCTTTCGGGTGAAGATGAACACACTGACCACAGGTTTGGGAAAACCCTGAGCTGAGTCCACTGTGTCCAGTTTCTTTCTCCACAACTCTTTCCTATCCGAGTTTCGATTCATGAATACCTCAACACAGTCTCCTTTCACCTGTGTCAGCAGCTCCAACAGTGCTGTGTGCACATACATGTATTCTGGGGATCTCCGACAATCAAGCCCCTCCCCCCCTTCCCGAACGCTGAAAGGGGAATTCAGACTAATTCAGTTAAAAGGGAGCAATCTGTATAAATCAAGTTTGCCTTTACCCTAAACTGAAACAAAATATCTTCTGAAATATCGTTTGAAGGATTGAACACATGAGGGAAGAGCGAGGGAGGGGGGAAAGGATAGAGTAATAACCACGGCAATTCGGGACTGGTGGCACCTCTGGCCAGCCAGGCTACCGTTCTGCAACCAATGCAACATTGCTGCATTATGCATTAACCCAGATTTCGGATGCTGTGGCCCCCGTTGCCATGGTAACCACTCATTTGGTTGCAGGGGAGGGCTCCCCGCGCTGCGGTTAAGATAATGGGTGGCGACAGCCATTGTCATATCCTCTATATACCTGTCTCACACAAGGGTTCGGGGGAGAGGACGCCCGGGCGATATCAGACAGAGATTTATTATGTCTGCGCTCAAGCAAATTGGTTGAGTAAAATAGACTGAATGAACCGGAGTGCTGATTTCACACCAAATCAATAATCAAGTAAAGTTTAACTCAACAGCACTGTTGTGCATAGAAGACTGAGTAGAAGGTAACACATTTCCTACTGTTACAAAGCGTGTCACAGCAACTGTAATTACATGTACATGTACGTGTGCATCAGGCCTCGACATTAACGGTTGTCTGATTGCCTGGGACAAGTAGTTTCTTCTTTCGGTTGTGCAACGACAAATTGCCTGATGGACAGGACCTTTTTTCTTGAAATAAAAGTGTCTGTTTTTCGTGTGCAAGAATAGCAGTCACCAAATTTCCCTTGGATTCGTTTTCCTCTCCACAAAAGCTTATAAAAAGTGGTAAAAGTAAGCAGCTACATGTACATGTATGTGGAATACAATGATTTCTTGCATTGTTACGTACGTACATGTACATGCACAAATCACATGTATTAAGCACGCTGAACATTCAACAAGGGAAGATGCGTACACAGACTGTAAAATACCCTTGTGTCTGGGTACCAAACCTCGTTGGTTATTGCACGCGCGGTGCAGCAGAGCTTTGTCGGCCGGAAGCTCGAAGACTGTTTTACATGTGGCTGTGACTTCAACATGAGTGAATTTCACCTTGTACTTGTGTGTATACTTCTTGTATATGAAACCAGGCAAAATCGTCGAGTGGTTAAGAAATAGCTGCTGCCCAAACTTGTATACATGGTGCATCAGAGTCCTGCACACGTTGGGGGGATGTATATTAATGTCGTATTGTGGCGTAGCAATATCATCAATGGTGATTGGTTGAAGGAACATACTGACCCCGCGCAGCGATGAGCAACTAAACCAGGGATTGGGCATGTAAAATCTCACCTCCGGCAAGTCAATTTTCAGTGCTACTGGTACTTGCCCCCCAATGGACAAGTACACCTTAAAAAAATTAATGTTAAGGCCTGATGTGCAGGCACCAATTCAATATTTGCGTCAAATGCTTCAGAACGTTTTTCCTCTGAGCGATTGAAGTCCTTCTGTAAGATGTGCATACCAGTATTTGGCTGATGATGCCATCAGATTTGGAACATTTTCCAACTGTTAACAGTGTTAGGTCAAACAAAAATGGATACAGGATGTGGTCAGTCAAAATGCAGGAATGATGGACATTCAGGAATTTTACTACAATCAGCCCTAACAATACTGTAATAATGTTACTAATAAGATATACATGTAAGTGATAAATGACATAATGCACATTTCATCTCATGTGACCTTGATGCATGAAATAACACAAACAGATGTTTGAGATTTTTGTGTGTGTCTAATTGTCACTCTGCTTGGAAAATTGACTTTTCTTTCAAGATTCAGCATTTTGGAAGTTAAAGTGGTATACATGTACATTTAGGTGTGGTGTTAGATTCATAAATATAACATACTGGTACACATGTACACGTACATGTACATAATGGCAGAATCCATGATGGCACATGTACATGAGTGAAAAGGAAGAATTGCTTGTTACCAAAGAATCATTCATGTACGAATGGGAGCACAAAAGCCAGACACTACAGTATGTACAAGTGCATACAAACAGATCTAGTGACCAGAATTAACACGTACAACCCACTACTGCGGTGAAACCACACCCATAAGCAGGTCGTGCATGTACATGTATATAAGGGCATGTTCGTTGTGTGCCAACAAGTCTTACAACTTCTCTACACATATGCGCCTTGTGATTAAGTCCCTCTAAGAGTGTGTGCAACATGTGCTTAAGTGTGATACCGCCGGAGTAATGGTGTCTCCCCAGATCAGGCTACTGCTTTACAAGGGAATAGATACATGTCCACATGCCCCCAAGGACATCAAATATAGAGAAGTCTGAACTTGCCATGCTCTTGTATTGACTGAAGCAACCAGCGGCCATCTTACTATGCCAAATACAAAGGTGATTGTCGGCTCGTGCGTGCCATTGTAACTATTGTTGCCACGAACAATTTGGCTATAACGGTGGGGAGCAAACCTTGGTGTCACCTTTTGGGTAGGCATTCACCGCGTTAAGGGGACAAGTTCTTTTGTCAGGGAAATTTGAACCAAGTTGTGGGGACATTTCTGAGTCCCCACAATGTTTTCGGTCCCCACAAAATAGGTGAAATGTCGAGTGTATGTCCCCACAACTACGGTGCGGGAGTTGCTGTATTGGCACAGTGAGATGACTGCCACTGGCTTCGATGCATGTGGGCTGATTAGGGGCAGACTTTTGTCCTATTTTCTTCAAGCACAGTTGGGGCTTCTGGAGGATTTAGGAAGGTTCTGACAAAAAGGATCAAGGGAGATGACATTTAATGCACTTTACTGATAGATTTAAACTTTTTAAAAATAAAATTAAAACAAGTTGAATAACCTCTGGGAAATCAGAGGTCCACTTACCAGATAAAATCCTTACAATGTGAACAGTACGTTGGTTGTCGCAAAAATGTTGCCATGAATTTGTGCCCGTTGATTTGATGTACCCTCCGTCGCATCGCCCCCCGCCTCTTTCGCATTGCATTTTCCCGGACTTTGAAAACTTTCTCCTTTGGAGGATCTATAAACATTCAGAAAGATTGATAAAATAAGATAGCAATGTTACAATGCAAAAGACTAATGTGCAACTCACAAGTTCTTCACATCCATTGGAAATGCAACATTAGCAGGTGTTTCCAAGTCTGTTTGACAATTGAAGAACTGCTCACAAGGTTTTTGATTAAAAAAAAATTATTTTAAATTTTAATCATGCGTTTAGCCGGGATCCTCTTGAGTAAGATCAAGGAAGACAGTTCAGGTGTGGGACTCACACCAGACTGCAGCGTGTATTTCATGTAGAGTAATTGTAATGTGAGTCACAATATGATTTACATGCCTGACAATCATGGCATGGACACTAAATAAACAAAATCAGTCAAATCAAGCATATCGTATAATATTAAAAATTCCTGTGCACATTTTTTGGTATGTTGGCACTAAGTGGGTGCAAGATCACTGACAGTGATACACATAATTAGTCTTTAGAAGAAAAACAAGCCAATAAAAACATGAAAACAGTGACTCGCTTAGAGAAACCAAATAGCCACACATGTAAGTCTTGACACACAACCGACGGACACTGCCTTAGTTGGATTGTAACACTTATACTCTGTGCTTATAAACTCTAGTGCCATTTTGCAAGCACAACGAGCTTGTTAAATCCTGAACTAAATGTCAATCTCAATAGAAAACGATATCACTTCACATCATTACATGTATTAGACTCCAAAAGCTAATGTGACATGCCCAGAACGGAAATTTTAAACTCGGACTTTATATGGCGAAGTCCACAGAAGTGTACAAGTACAATACTGTTTGCCAGAGGAGTATCGGATCACAGTTATCGATCTTGAGGTACTTTGACTAAAAAAGTGTTTTGATGTTGAGAGACCTCTTACATGTACATGTACCTGTACACGACAAATATCGAGAAGTGAAAACCCGATGGTGATTGTATGCAAATAATTCGGACTTGTGACTTATGTTTGCATCAGGGAGATTTACAGCGTTGGAGGCTTCACTCAGTCACTGACATGATACTCGTAGGACTGTTTACTTGATGTTTAGTATGGGGGAGCTTGCAAGATTTATTTCCATGAGCTTACTCAGAAGTAAATGTTCACTGGGTTGGGTTGAACAAACTAAACTGACCCGAAACCGATCAGACTTTCCCAAATCCGGCCCAAACTGAAAGGTAAAACCAACCAAAACCGACTTGAAACTGAACCCAACCCTCTCCCCCCCCAAAAAAACTCAAAAGTATCTGGCCTTCACAAACTTCCCCATGATGAGGTGCTTTTTGTGCCTACATGTACATGTATGTTCATCCTTCCTGGATGAATGCTTTTGGAAAAATCATTGTGAGAACTCAAAACTCTTGCAGTTGGAGTGCAGAAATGAATACGGTGGGGAATTTCTTTTAAATTATGCATCTTGGCCAAACTGGGCACTACATGAATATGGCTTTGCAGTAGTAGTGAGAATGTCTAAGCTATTTTTTTTAAGGGGGGAGGAGTCATTTTAGGTTTTTACCATGATGGCTTAACCAACCAACTTATCCAAAAGGTGTTATGCAAAAACCGAAACCAACCCGACCAGACTGAAGCGGTGGACAATCCGACCTGACCTGAATTCAGTTTCACAGTACATTACTCGGGAGGGACTGAAACCAGTAACCACCCACTTATGGTACAAGGGCAGATATCCTGACGCACCCGGCAAGATATGGGACAAAGGGGTACCTCCCCCTACATGTCCAAACCCTAGACACTCTAGACTCCTGTTACCTACCGGTAACACATCCCCCCCCCCCGATGTCTGAAAAGAATTCCTGAGATTCCGGTCAAACAATAACCAACACAAAAGGAGGGGGTCTCCATCCCATATCTCGCTTCAAATGCATATTAATCAAGGAGTTACCAGGGGCTGTCTGTATTCTGGCCAATCCAAAACCAGTACCTGTGCAACAATTTTTAACAATTATGTGAATTATGTAAAGGCCAACACCACCATTCCACACTGCATTATGATGTAGGCCAGAGGAATGTCTGTGTGTCATTTGTATGCTTGGTTTTGAACATGAGAACATCTTAAGCATACACTAACAAATCAAAAAGATTATAAAAATTTCTGAAATCAAACATGTATTTTTAAGTTAGTAGCAACTACGAACAACCTACATAATAGAAACAATGAATGAACAACATAGAAACAAGAATAAACAACCTACATGTTGACTTCAAAAATGTTCACAAAAACTTTCAGAAATCTACTCTTAAAATCAGGTAATTTTTCTCCCTGACATTCAATTAATAACCAGAGCTAATTGCCCAAAGAATGCAACCTCTATACTTGACTTAAATTACATGGGGGGTCAGCACACTCTTTATATCACAAGTGCAGGTCGCCTGATTTCTTCTCTGGGGTAGTGGCATTTATGGACCATTAGGCTTGGTTAAGTTAATGCCCAAAATAAGTCACTGCAAAGGTCATCATGGACCAAGCCCATTGTCAGTTTGTCAGACTCCATTTGGGCTTGGGTTTCACAGCCCAATAATGCAACAGGGGAATTTGATCAGCACATCTTCTAATGAATATGACAAATTCTATGTTGAATGTAATTTGGTCTGTCAGGTGGGTGTAAGTGCCAGTCAGCCTATATACATTTAATGTCATTATTTTACGTACATTTACATGATAATTGCATTTTAAAACATGAAGTGCAGTTCTGGTGTGGAAAATAATTAAATTATTCAGCATTGAATGTTATTTCGATGTTTACTACTAAAAGCATGCCCATTTTGAGTGGTATACATGTACATGTTCTGGTAGTGCAAGTATTAATGTTAATTTCAATCACATTACAACTATATAAAAACCTCCTTTTGATTGTCTTGTAATAAGCGATAAGTTACATGTATCTCTGGCAATTAAATGTGGCAACATTTTCTGCATTAAAACTGCTAACACCACACGATACACTAATAAGTACATAACCACAGCCTGGCTTTAGGACTTCTGCTAGGCACCTAAACGTACTAATCTCTCAGTTGGCACTCACTGAGCACAGTGGCTTAGGTGACACTCATTGAACTCAATGGCTCAAGTTCAACCCACTGGCCTTCCCCACTGATTGGTTTGATACAACTCAAGCAGTCGTAATACGGTCTCACCAGCAATCTCTCAGTTGGCACTCACTGAGCTCAATGGCAAGTTTTGGGCTGTGCCAAATATACAAATATTCGATTGAAAAGTGCATATTCAATTATTATTTTTTGAATTCAAATATTTGAATGCAAAATTCATGAAAAAGAAGGGAGAATTTCCCTCATGAACATCATGGACACTTGTTTCAAGCAGATTTCAGACACTTGAAGGTAGCTGATATGCCTAACAGTAAAACATAATCCATCCTAGAATATAGAAATAGCTTGAAAAAAAAGTGCCCAGATTATTTGTGATAATGATGTATTGACGTTGAAATAAAATATGATGAACCTTCCTGAAAATATTTCAACTTGAAACAAAACTGAGAAACTATTACAGTGATTTTTATGTAAAACAATGTGCATTTTTGTCACTAATGTTGAATATGATTTGTTCATCAATAATCTGCCGGCCGGTGCGACCAAATATTCAAATATTTTATCGAATTGAAGGTCAAATATTCAAAGTGTCAATTATTCGAATTGACTCAGCCCTACTTAAGTTGAATCCACTGGTCTTCCCTGCTTTTTGGTTTGATGCAACTCAAGCAGTCGCAATACTGTCTGATTAGCAATCTGTCAGTTAGGACTCACTGAACTCAGTGGCTGCTTACTGGTGTGCTGCAACTCAAGCAGCAAATCTACACACGCACACAACCAGCGACTAAACCTTCAACATGAAGGGAACATGGCCAACGTGTAAATATCCGTGTGACATCGGTGCTTTACAAGTACATGGATACGTACCTGTACGTATGCACGTTATGTACTCAAAACGCAAAGCCAACAAGGCAAGAAACATTCATTTTGCAATGAAGAGTACAGAAAGATGATGCGCATTGAATCAAAAGGATAAAAATTTGAAGCCTACATGTACCCGGTATCTGCTTTGTTGCAGAAGACAGCTTTTGGAATGTCAACCGATGACAAGATTAGTGGCAGCTCAGACATGAAAAACCACAGATGAGTCATGCCTCCCCCTTCATAAATGAAGGGAGGGAATCACTAAGGGGTGTCCTCCCGGTTGCCATGGTCCTGGCCAATCCACAGGGGGGCCGCCATCGCCAGGGTTGTTCCATGGGTGACCAATCACAGACAGTGTTGTATGTGGCTTGCGCTTAATATATGCCACGATCAAGGTGAATGAATACTCTAGGTGCAGTATTGCATTTCTCAAGAGTAGATTGGAGGCATGGGTGGACTGGAATTCTAAGCGGCGTAGATCACACCGTTCACAGACAGGGTGCCTACTGTACATGTACATACATGTATGTATAGAGTACAAGCACATATGCGTTTACGTAGGCTCCAACACATTGCATATTCACGAAACACCGTATTGCATTCAACTATAAGGAATTTAAATTGGCATAATACATGTACACTGTTGCATCTATCGGTATGCAAAGCTCTAACAACCACAGACAGCTACTTAACTTTACATTCATGAGACTACATGTAATATGAAAGCAAGGGACAAATAGATTATTAAGGTATCTGGTTTACAATGATCCAATTCACTGAGGGAGATATACATGTACATGTGCTTATACTGGTACCATGTATGTTCACTTTTTAATAAAAAACATGTTGAGTAATGGAGAAATGGCAGGAGCACCGTCAGCTCTTTGAGAGATGCCTGATTTCTAAGGTTTTGCATCATTGCAGAACATACATGTACATTATGTACATGTATTATTTGCTTGTACATACACTGTACATTGCTGGTATCCTGACTTTCAGGTTGAGCAAAGAATCACATATCACCACATACGTAACAATGCAGAGCGAATCGTTTGCTTAATGGCCTCTGTCT